GGGGGTCCCGGGGGGATTTTGGGGGGTCCGAGGAGGAAATTTTGGGGGGCTCTGGAGGAATTTTTGGGGGTTCCAGGAGAGAATTTTAGGGGGCCCCGAGGGGGAATTTGGGGGGTCCAGGAGGAATTTGGGTATCCAGAGGAATTTTGGGGGATCCAGGAGGAATTTTGGGGGATCCCATCGGGAATTCGGGTTTCCCATTGGGGATTTTGGGTTCCCCATTGGAATTTGGGGTTCCCATTGAGATCTTTGAGGTTCCCATTGGAATTTGGGGTTCCCATTGGGATTTTGGGGTTCCCAGAAGGATTCTTAGGTTACCATGGGGATTTTGGGGTTCCCATGGGGATTTTTAGGTTCCCATTGGGATTTTGGTTCCCAGAGGACCCGGGCACCTGGCAGGATTTTTGGGGTTCCCATTGGGATTTTGGGTTCCCAGCAGGATTTTTGGGGTTCCCATTGGGATTTTGGTTCCCATTGGGATTTTTGGGTTCCCATTGGGATTTTGGTTCCCATTGGGATTTTTGGGTTCCCATTGGGATTTTGGGTTCCCATGGGGATTTTTAGGTTCCCATGGGGATTTTTGGGTTCCCATTGGGATTGTTAAGGTTCCCATTGGGATTTTTAGGTTCCCATGGGGATTTTGGGGTTCCCATTGGGATTTTGGGTTCCCATTGGAATTGTTAAGGTTCCCATTGGGATTTTGGTTCCCAGAGGACCCGGGCACCCGCAGGATGCCGTCGCAGGACCTGGCAGGATTTTTGGGGTTCCCATTGGGATTTTGGGTTCCCAGCAGGATTTTTGGGGTTCCCATTGGGATTTTGGTTCCCATTGGGATTTTTGGGTTCCCATTGGGATTTTGGTTCCCATTGGGATTTTTGGGTTCCCATTGGGATTTTTGGGTTCCCATTGGGATTTTTGGGTTCCCATTGGGATTTTTGGGTTCCCATCAGGATTTTAAGGTTCCCATTGGGATTTTTGGGTTCCCATTGGGATTTTGGGTTCCCAGCAGGATTTTTGGGGTTCCCATTGGGATTTTGGTTCCCATTGGGATTTTTGGGTTCCCATTGGGATTTTTAGGTTCCCATTGGGATTTTTAGGTTCCCATGGGGATTTTGGGGTTCCCATTGGGATTTTGGGTTCCCATTGGAATTGTTAAGGTTCCCATTGGGATTTTGGTTCCCAGAGGACCCGGGCACCCGCAGGATGCCGTCGCAGCTGGAGCACGCCATGGAGACGCTGATGTTCACCTTCCACAAGTACGCGGGGGACAAGGAGCACCTGGCCAAGGAGGACCTCAGGGCGCTCATGGACAAGGAGTTCCCGGGCTTCCTCGAGGTGGGCACGGCGTCTGTGGGGTCCCTGGGGTGGCATCTATGGGATCCATGGGATGGGATCCATGGAGTGGGATCTATGGGATCCATGGGATGGGATTGGTGGCAGCTAGAGAACCCCAAAATCAAACCCCATAAACCTTGGGATGGGATCCCATAAACCCTGGGATCAAACCAGACAGAACCCTGGGATCAAACCCTGTACACCCCCAGTCTGGATCCCATAGAACTCTGGGATCAGACCCCATAAACCCCGGGATGAAACCCCCTAAACCTTGGAATGGGATCCCATAAACCTTGGGATCAAGCCAGCTAGAACCCTGGGATTGGATCCCATAGAACTCTGGCATCAGACCCCATAAAGCCCAGGATGAAACCCATAAACCTTGGGATGGGATCCCATAAACCCTGGGATCAAACCAGATATAACCCTGGGATTGGATCCAGAACTCTGGGATCAGACCCCATAAACCCCAGGATGAAACCCCCTAAACCTTGGGATGGGATCCCATAAACCCTGGGATCAAACCAGATATAACCCTGGGATTGGATCCCACAAACCTTGGGGTCAAATCCTATAAAACCCTGGAATAAGACCCCATAAACCTTGGGATGGGATCCCATAAGCCTTGGGATCAAGCCAGCTAGAACCCTGGGACTGGATCCCATAGAACTCTGGGATTAGATCCCATAAACCTGGGGATGGGATCCCATAAAACCTGGGATCAAACGCTGTAGGACACCAGGACTGGATCCCATAAATGCTGGGATTGGATTCCATCAAACCCTGGGATCAGATCCTGCGGGACGTGGAGCAGAGTGTGGGGTCTGGCCCCATTCCCATGTGGGATCTGACCCATTTTTTACCCATTTTAACTCATTTTTATCTCATTTTTAACCCATTTTTACCCATTTTAACCAGTTTTTTACCCATTTTTACCCATTTTCTCCGTTTTCCCCCCAGAACCAGTGTGACCCCCACGCCCTGGAGCGCATCCTGTGTGACCCCATTCCCATGTGGGATCTGACCCATTTTTTACCCATTGTAACCAATTTTTTCCCATTTTAACCCATTTTTACCCATTTTTTACCCATTTTAACCCATTTTTACCCATTTTTAACCCTTTTTCCCCCAGAACCAGCAGGACCCCCACGCCCTGGAGCGCATCCTGTGTGACCCCATTCCCATGTGGGATCTGACCCTGTTTCCATTTAGGATCTGGCCCATTTTTCCTGGTTTTACCCCATTTTACCCCATTTTTACCCATTTTTTACCCATTTTAACCCATTTTTACCCATTTTCTCCGTTTTCCCCCCAGAACCAGTGTGACCCCCACGCCCTGGAGCGCATCCTGTGTGACCCCATTCCCATGTGGGATCTGACCCTGTTTCCATTTAGGATCTGACCCATTTTTCCTGGTTTTACCCCATTTTACCCCATTTTACCCCATTTTTACCCATTTTTACCCATTTTTAACCCATTTTTAACCCTTTGTCCCCCAGAACCAGCGGGACCCCCAAGCCCTCGATCGCATCCTGCGGGACGTGGAGCAGAGTGTGGGATCTGACCCATTTTACCCCATTTTTAACCCATTTTAACCCATTTTCCCCCGTTTTCCCCCCAGAACCAGCGGGACCCCCACGCCCTGGAGCGCATCCTGCTGGACATGGAGCAGAGTGTGGGATCTGACCCATTTTAACCCATTTTTTCCCAATTTTAACCCCTTTTTAACCCATTTTAACCCATTTTTTTCCATTTTTACCCATTTTTCCCCATTTCCCCCCGTTTTCCCCCCAGAACCAGCGGGACCCCCACGCCCTGGACCGGATCCTGCGGGACGTGGAGCAGAGCCGCGATGGCCGCGTTGGCTTCCAGGGCTTCTTCTCGCTGGTGGCCGGGCTCACCATCGCCTGCAACGACTACTTCGTGCAGCACATGAAGCAGCGCGGCCGCCGCTGAGCCCCCCACCCCTGGGTGCCCCCCGCCCACCCCTGGGTGCCACCCCAAACCCGCCCTGGGTCCTGCCTTGACCCCAAATGTGCCTTGAGCCCCTCTGGGGTTCTGACCCCCCCCCCAAAGGTCCTGAACCCCCCCCAAGGGGCTGAGACCCCCCCTGGGGGGTTGAGACCCCCGCCCACCCATGGGTGCCACCCCAAACCCGCCCTGGATCATCCCTTGACCCCAAATGTGTGCCTCGATCCCCTCTGGGGTTCTGATCTCACCCCACAAAGGTTCTGAGCCCCCCCGGGGGTCCTGACCCCCCCCTCATTCCAAGCTGAGACCCCCCCGGGGGGGATTGAGACCCCCCCCACCCATGGGTGCCCCCCAGTGTCCCCCCTGCCCCCCCCAGGGGTGCCCCCCACCCTGGGGTGCTGCCCTGACCCCCAATAAAGGGGTTTTGTATGAACCGGGGTGCTCTGTGCTCTTGGGGTCACTTTGGGGCCCTTTTGGGGCCCTTTTGGGGTCCCTTTTGGGGTCACTTTGTGTCCCTTTGGGGTCACTTTTGGGGTCATTTTGGGGCCGTTTTGGGGTCGTTTTGGGGTCCCTTCGGGGTCCCTCTCCCCTTGGGGTCCCTTTGGGGTCACTCGGGGCCGTTTGGGGGTGCAGGGAGCACTGCGGGGTGACACTGGGGTCCATCGGGATCTACGGGGGATCTGTGGGGCCCATAGGGTTCCGTGGGGTCCCTGTAGGGTCTCTATAGGGTCTCTGTCTCTCTCTATAGGGCCCACAGGGTTCCGTGGGGGATCTGTGGGGTTCCATGGGGTTCCATAAACCCTCTATAGGGTCTCTCTCTCTCTCTAGGGTCTCTATAGGGTTCCATAGAGTCTCTGTAGGGCTCTATAGGATCCATAGGGTTCCACAGGTCCCTATAGGGTCTGTCTCTCTATAGGGTTCCATAGGGTCTCTGTAGGGTTCCATAGGATCTCTATAGGGTCTCTGTAGGATCTGTCTCTCTCTATAGGGCCCATAGGGTTCCATGGGGGATCTGTGGGGTTCCATGGGGTTCCATAGGGTCTCTCTCTATAGGGTCGGTCTCTACAGGATCCATAGGGTCTCTATAGGATCCCTATAGGGTCTCTCTCTATAGGGTCTCTATAGGGTCTCTGTCTCTCTCTATAGGGCCCATAGGGTTTCCATAGGGGATCTGTGGGGTTCCATGGGGTTCCATAGGGTCTCTGTAGGGTTCCATAGGATCTCTATAGGGTCTCTGTCTCTCTCTATAGGGCCCATAGGGTTCCATGGGGGATCTGTGGGGTTCCATGGGGTTCCATAGGGTCTCTCTCTATAGGGTCGGTCTCTACAGGATCCATAGGGTCTCTATAGGATCCCTATAGGGTCTCGCTCCCTATAGGGTCTCTGTAGGGTCTCTGTAGGGTCTCTATAGGATCTCTCTCTATAGGGTCGGTCTCTATAGGATCCATAGGATCCCTATAGGGTCTCTGTAGGGTCTCTCTAGGGTCTCTCTCTAGGGTCTCTTTGTAGGGTCTCTATAGGATCCATAGGATCCCTATAGGGTCTCTGTAGGGTCTCTCTAGGGTCTCTATGGGGTCTCTCTCTCTATAGGGTCTCTGTAGGGTCTCTATAGGGTCTCTGTGGGGTCTCTCTATAGGGTCTCTCTCCCTATAGGGTCTCTGTAGGGTCTCTCTCTATGGGGTCTCTCTCTATAGGGTCGGTCTCTATAGGATCCATAGGATCCCTATAGGGTCTCTATAGGATCCCTATAGGGTCTCTATAGGGTCTCTCTCTCTATAGGGTCTCTTTAGGGTCTCTCTAGGGTTCCCAGGGCTCCGTTCCGGCCCCTCAGGCCCCGCCCCCGGAAGAGGGAAAAACCTGGCAGTGCCGTGACGTCACGGCGGTGGGCGGGGCCCGGCGTGTGCAAGGGGGGGGGTGGGGGCCGGACACGCGTGTTTTGGGGTGCACATGTGTGTCACAGGCTGTACACGTGTGTCACAGCGTGCACAGGTGTGTCACGGGCTGCACACGCGTGTCACAGGGCACACACGTGTGTCACAGGCTGTGCTCGCGTGTTTGGGGGTGCACACGTGTGTCACAGGCTGTACAGGTGTGTCACGGGGCGCACACACGCGTGTCGGTGTGTACACGCGTGTCACAGGCTGCGCTCACGTGTTTTGGGGTGCACACGTTGTCACACGTGTCAGGAGTGTCACACGTGTCCGGGTGTCACACGTGTCTGGGGCTGACACGCATGTCTGGGGGTCACACGTGTCCAGGGTGTCCCACATGTCTGGGGTGTCCCACACGCATGTGGCGGGGTTGTCACACGTGTGCGGGTGTGTCACACACGTCTGGGGATGTCACACGCATGTGGCAGCGCTGGCACATGTGTCTGAGAGAGTGTCATGCGTGTCCAGGTGTGTCACACGGGTGTGGGTGTGTCACACGTGTCCAGGGTGTCCCACATGTCTGGGGTGTCCCACACGCATGTGGCGGGGTTGTCACACGTGTGTGGGTGTGTCACACGTGTCCAGGTGTGTCACACGCGTGTGCAGGTGGAGGAGCGAGGGCCTTGCACGAGTGTCAGTGCCAGGCCAGGGCTGTACTGGGAGCTGCCAGTCCCATACTGGGCTGAACTGGGCCATACTGGGAGCTCCCAGTCCCCTCCTGGCCCCGCGCGTTTCCTGTCCCGGGGCCGTGTCCCAGTTGTGGCTTTGTGGCTCCGGCAGCGCCAGCACCGGGTGACAGGGGACATTGGGGACACTGGGGACACTGGGGACACTGGGGACACTGGGGACACTGGGGACAATGGGGACAATGGGGAGCCTCAGGGGAGGTGACATAGGTGCCACAGGTGACACAGGAGCCCATGGGGACACCTGAACCATGGGAGGACACGGGTGGCACTGCGGGTCCCACGGGTGCCTGGTGGCAGGGACCCCGTGCCAGTGTCCCGTGCCAGTGTCCCCGTGTCCCCATGCCAGTGTCCCGTGTCCCCCCAGCCCACATCGAGGTGATTCCCTGCAAGATCTGCGGGGACAAATCCTCCGGGGTGCACTACGGGGTCATCACCTGCGAGGGCTGCAAGGTGACACCGGGACAGGGGGGGACAGGGGACACGGGGGGGGACACGGAAGGACATGGGGACATGTGGAGCATAAGGGGGGACATGGGGACATTGGGGAAATGGGGACAAGGGGGACATGGGGACAAGGGGGGACATGGGGACATTTGGGATATGAGGATGTGGGGGGCATGGGGACAGGAGGGGGACATGAGGATATGGGGACACGGGGACAAGGGGGATGTGAGGGGGACTTGGGGACATGGAGGAATATGGGGACAAGGAGGGACATGGAGGGGACAGGGGGACATGGGGGGGACATTGGGACAGGGGAACATGGTGCCGCGGTGCGACACGGCTGACACGGGTGACACTGGTGACACGGGACATGGAGGAATATGGGGACAAGGGGGGACATGGAGGGGACAGGGGGACATGGGGGGAACATTGGGACAGGGGAACATGGTGCCGCGGTGCGACACGGGTGACACTGGTGACACGTGTGACACGGTGCCACCCCAGGGCTTCTTCCGGCGCAGCGAGCGGCGCGGGCCGAGCCTGGCGTGTCACCGCGGGCAGCGCTGCGACATCGACCGCGCCACCCGCACGCGCTGCCAGCACTGCCGCCTGCAGAAGTGCCTGCGCCTCGGCATGTCCCGCGACGGTGGGTGACACGGGGACAGCGCGGGGACAGCGCGGGGACAGCCCGGGGACAGCGCCACCCAGCCCGGGGACAACTGGGACTGTCCCTGGGGGCATCGATCTGTGCCCTGGGGACAGCTGGAACCCTGGGGACACTGCCCTGTGACCCCGGGGACATCTAGACCCCCCTGGGGACATCTGGAACCCCTGGGGACACCGCCCTGTGTCCCCGGGGACATCGATCTGTGCCCTGGGGACAGCTGGAACCCCTGGGGACATCGATCTGTGACCCTGGGGACATCGATCTGTGCCCTTGGAGACAGCTGGACCCCTTAGGGACAGCACCCTGTGACCTTGGGGACACTGCTCTATGCCCTTAGGGACACCTGTGCCCTCTGGGGACACCGCCCTGTGCCCTGGGGACACAGCCCTGTGCCCCTGGGGACAGCTGTCCCCGCCCCTGGTGTCCCCGCGTTTGGGGACAGCTGTCCCCCAAAGCTGCAGCCACCCGCCCCCTCCCTGAGGACACCTGTCCCCACCTGAGGACACTTGTCCCCTGTCCCGGTGCCAGCTGTCGCGCCCTGGGGACAGCCCGGGGTGTCCCCGGGAAGGGCCGGGCCGCTCGGTGTCCCCGCGCGCGCGCGGCGCTGCGGTGTCACCCGCTGTCCCCTCTGTCCCCGCAGCCGTCAAGTTCGGCCGCATGTCCAAGAAGCGGCGGGACCGGCTCCAGGCCGAGGTGCGGGAGCAGCTGGAGAAGCGGGAGAAAAACCGGGAACAAAACCGGGAACAAAACCGGGAACACCGGGAACAAAACCGGGAACAGCCGGAACAGCTGGAGCACCGGGAAAACCGGGAAAAACGGGGAAAAGGGGAACAGCGGGAGCAGGAACGGGCGGCCCCGGGGCCACCCGGTGTCGCCCGCTGTCCCCCGCTGTCCCCCGCCGTCCCCGCGGGCTGTCCCAGCAGGGCGTGGCCCGCGGAGGAGGCGACAAGGCGGGGACAGGACGGGGACACGGCGGGGACAGCGGGGCCGATCCCTCGGGCCGGTACCGGCGGCGTCCCGGAGCCACCCGCGGGGCTGGAGATCGGTGAGTGGCGCTGGGGACTGTCACCTGCGGGACTGGCCGTGTCACCTGCGGGCTGGCCGTGTCACCTGCCGAGCTGGCAGTGTCACCTGCAGGGCCGGCAGTGTCACCTGTTCGAGCAGGGCTGGTGGCACCTCGGGATGTCACCTGTGGGTGCTCCGTGGCGGTGGCACCGGCTCTGTCACCCGTGGATGCCACCACGCTGGTGACCCCCTACCCACCACGGCCACACACCGGGCCACCCTCCCTGTCCCCACGCGTGTCCCCAAGCCCTGCGTGTCCCCTCAGAGCTGCTGACGCAGAGTGTCCTGCTGTCACACCGTGCCACGTGCCACCCCCGCGCCGAGGACCTCCAGGGCCACCGCTGGGCCACCTTCAGCCCCGAGGAGATCCGCGCCTACCAGAGCCAGGTGTGGCACAGCTGTCCCCAGCGGTGGCGCGGTGTCCCCAGGTGTGGCACGGCTGTCCCCCGGGGTGGGGACAGCTGTCCCCCGGGTGGCACGGCTGTCCCCAGTGGTGGCGCGGCTGTCCCCAGGGGTGGCGCGGTTGTCCCCAGGGATGGCACAGCTGTCCCCAGCGGTGGCGCGGTGTCCCCAGGTGTGGCACGGCTGTCCCCCGGGGTGGCACGGCTGTCCCCAGGGGTGGCGCGGTGTCCCCAGGGGCGGCACAGCTGTCCCCAGGTGTGGCACAGCTGTCCCCAGCGGTGGCACAGCTGTCCCCAGGGATGGCACGGCTGTCCCCAGGGATGGCACAGCTGTCCCCAGCGGTGGCACAGCTGTCCCCAGGTGTGGCACGGCTGTCCCCAGGGGCGACACGGCTGTCCCCAGGGATGGCACGGCTGTCCCCAGGGGTGGCACGGCTGTCCCCAGCGGTGGCACAGCTGTCCCCAGCGGTGGCACGGCTGTCCCCAGCGGTGGCGCGGTGTCCCCAGCGGTGGCACAGCTGTCCCCAGTGGTGGCGCGGTGTCCCCAGGGGTGGCACGGCTGTCCCCAGTGGTGGCGCGGCTGTCCCCAGGGGTGGCGCGGTTGTCCCCAGGGATGGCACAGCTGTCCCCAGCGGTGGCGCGGTGTCCCCAGCGGTGGCACGGCTGTCCCCAGGGGTGGCGCGGCTGTCCCCAGGGGCGACACGGCTGTCCCCAGCGGTGGCACAGCTGTCCCCAGGGATGGCACGGCTGTCCCCAGGGGCGGCACGGCTGTCCCCAGCGGTGGCACAGCTGTCCCCAGGGGCGGCGCGGTGTCCCCAGGGATGGCACAGCTGTCCCCAGCGGTGGCACAGCTTTCCCCAGCGGTGGCGCGGTGTCCCCAGCGGTGGCACAGCTGTCCCCAGCGGTGGCGCGGTGTCCCCAGCGGTGGCGCGGGGGTGACAGCCGCTCCCGCAGCCCGCGGCGGAGATGTGGCAGCGCTGTGCCCGCCGTGTCACCGAGGCCATCGAGCGCGTGGTGGCGTTCGCCAAGCGCCTGCGCGGCTTCCTGCAGCTCAGCCAGCACGACCAGATCGTCCTGCTCAAGGCGGGTACGGCCACCGCGTCCCCGTGGCACTGCCACCACCCCGGGGCCACCCCGAGCCCCGGGGCACACTCACGGGGACACCCCGGCCCCTTGTCACCAGCCCCAGAGCCACTGTGACCCCTTGTCCCCAGCCCCAGGGACACCGCACCACATTGTCACCAGCCCCAGGGCCACGCTGTCACCTTGTCCCCAGTCCCAGGGCCACCCTGTGCTCTTGTCCCCAGTCCCAGGGCGACCCTGACCCCTTGTGACATTGTCCCCAGCCTCAGGGACATTCTGTCCCTTTGTCCCCAGCCCCAGGGCTGTCCCATCTCCTTGTCTCCAGCTCTGGGGCCACCCTGTCCCCTTGGGACACTCCCGCGTGTCCCACGGCGAGGTGACAGTCCCCAAAGTCCCCTCCATCCTCCTTGGGGAGGTGACAATCCCGTGTGTCCCACGGGGACCACCCCGGCCCCTTGTCACCAGCCCCAGAGCCACTGTGACCCCTTGTCCCCAGCCCCAGGGACACCGCACCACATTGTCACCAGCCCCAGGGCCACGCTGTCACCTTGTCCCCAGCCCCAGGGCGACACTGACCCCTTGTGACATTGTCCCCAGCCCCAGGGACATTCTGTCCCCTTGTCCCCAACCCCAGGGCTGTCCCATCTCCTTGTCTCCAGCTCTGGGGCCACCCTGTCCCCTTGGGACACTCCCGCGTGTCCCACGGCGAGGTGACACTCCCGCGTGTCCCAGGGGGAGGTGACAGTCCCCAAAGTCCCCCCCTCCTCCCTGCCGAGGTGACACCGCCCAGGGCCACCACCGCGGGTCCCCTCCGCGCGCCCCGGAGCCGGGGGCGGTGTCGCCGGTGCCAGCAGCGCTGTCGCCTCCCGCGGGGACAGGGGCCATGGAGGTTGTCCTGCTGCGGATGTGTCGCGCCGTGGACGCCGCCACGGGCACGGTCCTGTTCGAGGGCAAGCTGGCGGGGCCCGAGCTCTTCCTCTCGCTGGGTAGGGCGGGACACGGCCGGGGGACGCTGGGGGACAGCTGGGGACAGCGGTGACACCGCGCTGTCCCCAGGGTGTCCCGAGCTCGTCGCGTCCGTGTTTGACTTCGCGCGGGGGCTGAGCGCGCTGCGCTGCTCCGAGAGCGAGCTGGCGCTGCTGAGCGCGCTGCTGCTGCTCAACGCCGGTCAGCGCTGTCCCCGAGTGTCCCCCAGTGTCCCCCAGTGTCCCCGAGTGTCCCCCCGGCGTCCCCGCTCCTTGTCCCGCTCCGTGTCCCCGCCCCGTGTCCCTCCCCAAATCCCAAATGAGGTTTGTCCCTGAGCGGGGTGAGCGGCGGGGTGTCCCCAAGGTGTCCCCGGGGTGTCCTCAGGGTGTCCCCAAGGTGTCCCCGGGGTGTCCCCAAGGTGTCCTCAGGGTGTCCCCAAGGTGTCCTCAGGGTGTCCCCAAGGTGTCTCCGGGGTGTCCCCAAGGTGTCCTCAGGGTGTCCCCAAGGTGTCCTCAGGGTGTCCCCAAGGTGTCTCCGGGGTGTCCCCAGAGTGTCCCCAAGGTGTCCCCGGGGTGTCCTCAGGGTGTCCCCCAGGTGTCCCCGGGGTGTCCTCAGGGTGTCCCCAAGGTGTCCGCGGGTTACCCCCAAGGTATCCTCTGGGTGTCCCCGGGGTGTCCCTAAAGTGTCCCCAAGGTGTCCGCCACACTGTCCCCAGGGAGCTCCCAGGGTGTCCCCCACAGTGTCCCCCAAGGTGTCCCCACGCTCGTGCCCCTGTCCCCACGCCTGTCCCTGACCCCCCCAATCCTGTCCCTGTCCCTGTCCGTGTCCCCACGCCTGTCCCTGTCCCCCACACTCCTGTCCCTGTCCCTGTCGCTGTCCCCACACTCCTGTCCGTGTCCCCACACTCCTGTCGCTGTCCCCAGGCCGGCCGTGGCTGCAGGACCGCCCGCGGGTGGCGCGGCTGCAGGGACAGCTCGATGTCGCCTTCCGGCTCCTGCTGCGCCGGACCCGCCGCGAGGGGCTGCTGGCACGGGTGGGGACACCGGGACACCGGGAGGGGACACCGGGACACCGGGAGGGGACACCGGGACACCGGGAGGGGACACCGGGACACGAGGACACCGGGAGGGGGCACGGGGGTGTCCCTGGGGGTCCTTGGGCATGGGGCAGGGGTCAGGGCGGGGTTTGGGGACATTGGGGGTGACCCTGGCTCGGGGGGTTCCCTGCGCGTGTGTCACGCGTGTCCCCCCCGTGTGTCCCTGGGTGTCACAGCCGTGTCCGTGTGGTGACAGCCGTGTCCCTGGGTGTCCCCACGCGGTCCCTGGGTGTCTCCCCGGTGTCCCAGCCGTGTCCCAGCCGTGTCCCCGCGGTGTCCCCGCAGCTGCCCGCCCCGGGCCGGCTCCGCGCTCTGTGCTCGCAGCACCTGGAGCAGCTCCAGGCTTTCCGCCGCCGCCACCCCGCGGGGGCCTCGGCCGCCTTCCCCCCGCTCTACCGGGAGCTCTTCGCCCCCGACCCCGCCGAGGGCCCCGCGGGGACCCGCTGAGCGACACCGGGACCACCGGGACCACCGGGACCCTGCTGAGCGCGACATCGGGACCGCCGGGACCCCCGGGATCACCGGGACCCCCGGTATTACCGGGACCCCCGGCATCAGCGGGACCTCCGGGATCACCGTGACCTCCGGCGGGACCCTGCTGAGCGCGACATCGGGACCGCCGGGACCCCCGGGATCACCGGGACCCCCGGTATTACCGGGACCACCGGGGCCAACCCTGCACCTGGGCACACCTGGGGGTGCTCCCACCCCGGCACCTGCCGGGAATGCGGCACCTGGCGGGGCTCCGTCCGGCGTGGGTGCCCGGTCCCCGTGCGTGCCCGCTGTCCCGGTCCCCGTGGGTTCCCGCTGTCCCGGTCCCCCCCCGGGCTGTCCCACGGTCCCCACGCGGTGGCGGGGCTCAGCGGGGCGGCGTTTGAGGTGAATAAAGGCGTTTTTGGGGAGCGCCGGTGCGTCCGTGGCTCCGTCACCGGGGGCACGCGGGGACACCGGGAGCGGCAATAGGCCCCGCCCCGCGCAGCGATCCCAGCCGCTATAGGCTCCCGCGACTGTCACTCAAACTAGAAGGCGGGCATTCGTATTTTCTGGCTCTCTGATTGGTTCGCCTCTCCGCTACTCGACGCTGATTGGCTGCTTTATTCCCCTTATTTCCCGCCCCCGCCTTTGGGAGGTCTCGCGGGGATTGGCCTCTGCTCTGCAGGCGGTGATTGGGTGGGGGCGGTGCGGGCTGCGCTGTGATTGGCTGGGAGGGGATGAGCCGCGATGTGATTGGTGGGGAGCGGGAGGAGGCGGGGCCAGCGGCGGGGCGCGGGAGGCGGCGGCGGCACCGGGGCCGCGCCGGGCCCGAACCTCTGGGGGAACTGGAGGGACTGGGAATACTTGGGGAACTGGGAGTGCTGGGAGATACTGGGAGAGCTGGGGGGAACTGGGGGAACTGGGAATACTGGAGGGACTGGGAGTGCTGGGGGAACTGGGGGAACTGGGAATGCTGGGGGGACTGGGGAGTGCTGGGAGTACTGGGGAAACTGGGAGTGCTTGCAGAACGGGGAGCACTGGGAGCACTGTGGGAACTGGGAGCACTGGGGGTGCTGGGAGCACTGGGGGCACTGGGTGAACTGGGAGCACTGTGGGAACTGGGAGCACTGGGGGAACTGGGAGCACTGGAGGTGCTGGGAGCACTGGGTGAACTGGGAGCACCGGGAACGCCCATGGCCGCTGTCCCGCAGCTGCGGCAGGAGACCGGAGCCCAGATCGAGGTGGAGGAGGAGGAGGAGGAGGAGGAAGGGGGGCAGTCCCTGGTGCAGATCTCGGGCTCGCCGCTCCAGGTGTGCCGCGCCAGGGCGGCCGTGCTGCGCATCGTGGCCGACAGCGCGCCCGTGGCTGAGCAGCTGCGCGTGCCCCAGCGGGCTGTGGGCAGGATCATCGGTACGGGGCACCCCAAAACCCTGGGGGGATTTCAGAGGATTTTGGATAGCTTGCAGTGGATTTTGGGTGGATTTTGTGTAGATGTCAGATTTTGGGTGGATTTCAGGTGGATTTTGGGGGTAGATTTTGTGGATTTGGGGTAGATTTCATTGGATTTTGGGTGGATTTGGGTAGGTTTCAGTGGATTTTAGGTGGGTTTCAGTGGATTTTGGGAGGGTTTCAGTGGATTTCAGGTGGATTTTGGGTAGATTTCAGTGGATTTTGGGTAGGTTTCAGTGGATTTTAGGTGGGTTTCAGTGGATTTTGGGAGGGTTTCAGTGGATTTCAGGTGGATTTTGGGTAGATTTCAGTGGATTTTGGGTGGATTTCAGTGGATTTTGGGTGGGTTTGGGTAGATTTCAGTGAGTTTCAGGTAGATTTCGGGTGGATTTTGGGTGGATTTGGGTGGATTTTGGGTGGATTTCAGTGGATTTGGGGTAGATTTCAGTGGCTTTTGGGTAGATTTCAGTGGATTTTGGGGGAGTTTCAGTGGATCTCAGTGGACTTTGGGGTGGGTTTCAGTGGATTTGGGGTGGATCTCAGTGGATTTTGGGTGGATTTCAGTGGATTTTGGGTGGGTTTCAGTGGATTTGGGGGGGTTTCAGTAGATTTCAGTGGATTTGGGGTGGATCTCAGTGGATTTGGGGTGGATTTCAGTGGATTTGGGGTGGATCTCAGTGGATTTGGGGTGGATTTCAGTGGATTTGGGGTGGATCTCAGTGGATTTGGGGTGGATTTCAGTGGATTTGGGGTGGATCTCAGTGGATTTAGGGTGGGTTTCAGTGGATTTGGGGTGGATTTGGGGTGGATCTCAGTGGATTTGGGGTGGATTTCAGTGGATTTGGGGTGGATCTCCGTGAATTTGGGGTGGATCTCAGTGGATTTTGGGTGGGTTTCAGTGGATTTGTGGTGGATCTCAGTGGATTTGGGGTGGGTTTCAGTGGATTTGGGGTGGATTTGGGGTGGATCTCAGTGGATTTTGGGTGGGTTTCAGTGGATTTGTGGTGGATCTCAGTGGATTTGGGGTGGGTTTCAGTGGATTTGGGGTGGATTTGGGGTGGATCTCAGTGGATTTTGGGTGGGTTTCAGTGGATTTGTGGTGGATCTCAGTGGATTTGGGGTGGGTTTCAGTGGATTTGGGGTGGATTTGGGGTGGATCTCAGTGGATTTTGGGTGGGTTTCAGTGGATTTGTGGTGGATCTCAGTGGATTTGGGGTGGGTTTCAGTGGATTTGGGGTGGATTTGGGGTGGATCTCAGTGGATTTTGGGTGGGTTTCAGTGCACCGAGGCGGGCGCGGAGCCCGGCGAGGGCAGCGCGGAGCCCGGCGAGGGCGAGGAGCCGCCCCCGGACAAGTTCGAGGGTGAGAGCGGCGCTGGGGGGGATGGATTTCCCGGGAATTTCGGGATCTGGGAAGGGGTTTTTTGGGGGGATTTCAAGGTTCACCTGCGCCGCGGATGTCCCAGGGGTGTTTGGGGTGGGTTTTGAAGGGATTTGGGGTGGATTTCAGTGGACTTCAGGTGAATTTCAGTGGATTTTGGGTGGATTTCAGTGGATTTTAGGTGGATTTCAGTGGATTTCGCTGATTTCAGGGTTCCCCCTGTGCCGTGGCTGTCCTGCTGGGATTTGGGGTGGATTTTGGGTGGATTTCAGTGGATTTTGGGTGGATTTCAGTGGATTTGGGGGGGTTTCAGTAGATTTCAGTGGATTTTGGGTACATGTCAGTAGATTTTGGGTGGATTTCAGTGGATTTTGGGTGAATTTCAGAGGATTTTGGATAGCTTGCAGTGGATTTTGGGTGGATTTTGTGTAGATGTCAGATTTTGGGTGGATTTCAGGTGGATTTTGGGGGTAGATTTTGTGGATTTGGGGTAGATTTCATTGGATTTTGGGTGGATTTGGGTAGGTTTCAGTGGATTTTAGGTGGGTTTGGGGTAGATTTCATTGGATTTTGGGTGGATTTGGGTAGATTTCAGTGAGTATCAGGTAGATTTCAGGTCGATTTTGGGTAGATTTCAGTGGATTTTGGGGTAGATTTTGTGGATTTGGGGTAGATTTCAGTAGATTTTGGGTGGATTTGGGTAGATTTCAGTGGATTTTGGGTAGGTTTCAGTGGATTTTAGGTGGGTTTCAGTGGATTTTGGGAGGGTTTCAGTGGATTTCAGGTGGATTTTGGGTAGATTTCAGTGGATTTTGGGTGGATTTGGGTAGATTTCAGTGAGTTTCAGGTAGATTTCGGGTGGATTTTGGGTGGGTTTCAGTGGATTTTAAGTGGGTTTCAGTGGATTTTGTGTGGATTTTGTGTGGATCTCAGTAGCTTTTGGGTGGATTTCAGTGGATTTTGGGT